CTTTTAGTGGGCCTTTGGCTGGTGGTCCTCATTAAGGCCATTGCTGTCACTCGGTTCGTTAAGGTTCCTGGATGTTGTCACAACAGACGTTAAGAGTCGTTGGGCTACCTGGATAATTTTGGGATAATTTTAACATTGTGGTAACAAAATATATTTTGTAACCATGGGCTTTTATGCAAGAATTACACAACTGCAATGTACCAATACCAAAAACAGCAGCACAGACAAACTTACAGAAATGGTGGGAAACCCACCTCCCTCCCAATCTGACACTAGATAAGTGTTGACTGAGGGACTTTTCAAAGCTATTTGACTGTCAGACAAACAGTTCAGCCAGAGACTAATGGCCCTTTTAGTGGGCCTACAGTTGTGAACAGTCCATGTAGGCAAGCATTGGTGGTTCAGTGGTAGATTTCTCGCCTGCCACGTGGGAGGTCTGGGTCCGATTCCCGGCCAATACATTGAGTCTCACTTAGTTTATAGGATGATACTACTCATGGGTAAAGCCTACCTTTGCTCTCAAAGCTGTTGGTGTTGTAGGTGTCACATGATGATAGCAGTTGAAGTAGTCTTTGTTGACCCCCCAATGACTTTGTATCTGCTTTTCCTTGGATACAGGCACCGTGACTCTTGTGTGAGGGATAACTTGTCTTTTGTGTCTTTATCACATTGAGAGATCTTTTCCATTTTACCCACCTAGGTTAGGCATGTTGCTGGCCTCGTTGGCGCAGTAGGCAGCGCGTCAGTCTCATAATCTGAAGGTCATGAGTTTGAGCCTCACACAGGGCATACTTTTGCTGCACATGTGCTTTTTCTGGACTGGTGTGAAGTCATGTACAATGTACAATGTGCACTGTGTAGATGCAGCAGTGGGAAAGTCTGTTGTGTTCATTCGCACAGTGGTATGTTATTGGTCATGTGTGCATTGGTGTTTCAGTGGTAGAATTCTCGCCTGCCACGCGGGAGGCCCGGGTTCGATTCCCGGCCAATGCAACTCATTTTCTCCGGTTTGATACCTCAACAGTGCAAAACACTTTTCTTTATCACATTGAGAGATCTTTTCCATTTTACCCACCTAGATTAAGCATGTTGCTGGCCTCGTTGGCGCAGTAGGCAGCGCGTCAGTCTCATAATCTGAAGGTCGTGAGTTCGAGCCTCACACGGGGCATCCTTTTGCTGCACATGTGCTTTTTCTGGACTGGTGTGAAGTCATGTACAATGTGCACTGTGTAGATGCAGCAGTGGGAAAGTTTATTGTGTTCGTTTGCGCAGTGGTATGTTAACTGGTCACGTGCGCATTGGTGGTTCAGTGGTAGAATTCTCGCCTGCCATGCGGGAGGCCTGTGTTCATTTCCGGGCAATACAAGCCACTTTTTCATTTTCTCGGGTTTGATACCCCAACAGTGCAGCATACTTCTTGGGATAATGGTACAGTGTGGTACCAAAACATGTTTTGTAACAATGAGCTTTTATTTAAGTATTGTACAACTGTAATGTACCAATGCCACAAACAGCAACACGGGGCAAAAGAAGAATAAGAAAACACAGTCAAGGTATCCACATTGTCAGCAACAATATTCAGGTGGTCTTCTGCTTTCAGACATTGATTGACTGGTGTTAAGGGGCCCAAAGAGTGAGTTGTTGTTGAGAGATTCTTAAACATCCAGGTCTTGGTTTTCCAAGTGTGGAGTCCTTATTATGAGGCTAGGGGCAAATGACAGTTGTTGGAGTCGATTAATTTCTTATTCGTTTTTTCAAACATTTTTGCCATTCAAGTTGTTCAGGCAACACTTTGTGTAGATAAGTCCTTTACAGGTGGGTTCCATGAGTGAAATGTTTTTTGGGCCGTAAGTGATTCATTTCTGTTGCAATACAGAAGCAAGCCATTGACCCAAAATGGCAGCAGGGCTGATTTACCGCACCGTATCCAGCGTTGGTATTATATCTATGTTTAAAAATGGGGGATGTGTACCAATAGGTAGAAATCATGAGGATTATTAACAGAACGGTGAAGCCGCGTTTTCCGGCACCTCAGGTCCTCTGTGAAAGGCCCGAGAGCTGTCAAGATATTAAAGTAGAAATACAATCAATATCCTCTCAAAGGTAAATGTACTTTATCTGGAGGAAACGGTCGGGTGTCTGGACAACCAGCTGTTCAGATGTTTGTGATGTTCCTTTTAGTGGGCCTTTGGCTGGTGGTCCTCATTAAGGCCATTGCTGTCACTCGGTTCGTTAAGGTTCCTGGATGTTGTCACAACAGACGTTAAGAGTCGTTGGGCTACCTGGATAATTTTGGGATAATTTTA